GAGAGAGAGAGAGAGGGTAAAGATTGAATGTGGCAAACATTTTGCAGAAGCTGATGATTTATCTTTTGCTATAATGCATGTAGTTCACACATTGCAAGTGGAGCTTGGGGAGCTTAAAGGAAGGTTAACTGAGGTCATCAGCAACTGTGACGCATTATGCAAGAGAATCGCTGCTGAAGGACCAGAACCTCTTCGATCATCCATCAAGCCATTTGCCATGGCCACTACCAACTCAACAGTAGATCGTAGCTTAACTTCAGTGCAAAAGGTTACTGATCAAAGTTCAAAGTCTACAGAAACAGAAGCCAAATTAGACTGACTTTTTTTTTCTCTTTTGTATATAATTGACATATTCTTTTGCCCTTGATTCTTAATTGAGATTGATGTTTATTTTGTGCCTTACACGATTAGTGTACTAACATTTGGATGAGCAGAGCCCTAATACAGATCACAAGAGTAATTTTTTGGCCAAAATGTGAGGAGGGCAATTTCAATGAATTTCGTTTATGTGTCTACTTTCTTGCTTATGAAATGAAGGCAACTTTTGTGATTTGCATTGCTGAGACAACGTTGCCCCTACCGACATTAGCCATAGTTGTAAAGAGGGGCCATTTTTTAAACCTTTCTTTTTCAAAGTAGTAATAGTATTAGTCAGGGAAAATAACTGAAAACAAGCACCAGATCCGCCATTGAAATCTTGATTAACAATCTACCATTGCAGCAAGATACTTATTGATTATTACAAGCTTATTGATTTGGCCATGCATGTCCCAAACCCATGAGACCTCGACACATCACGTGATCTAATTACTACACTTGCTGAAATTCTAGTGACACGAAACAGATCATAAGTTAAACAAAATTCATAATCTGGTTTCATACATTACATTACATTAAAAAAAAAAACTACTTTACTTCAGACTTAAGGGATGAGATCCAGATTCCAGCACTTTCAAAGTAGAAATCAAGCTTTAAAAACTGTAAATTTCAGGCTTTCCCATTACTCAAATTGAAAATTCAAGAGTGACATTTATGAACTTACTAGAATTGAATGAATCAAACAACATAAAACTTTGATTTAAATTAAACATCAAATAAATAGTCTCTTCTTATACCCAACTATATAAGCCTAGAAACCAATCCAAGCAGGAAAAATTAAGGTTGTTGCTGGGCATCCATGTAACCAGCATCAACCAAAACTTTCTCCCTCTTGGCCAATTCAATGTCTTCATCAACCATCATCTTCACCAATTGCTCAAATCCAACTCTTGGTTTCCACCCAAGAACCTTCCTTGCCTTACTTGAATCACCCTTCAAGTTATCAACTTCAGCAGGCCTAAAATACCTCTTATCAATCACAACATGATCTTTCCAATTCAAGCCAACATACCCAAATGCCACTTCCAGAAACTCTTCCACCGTATGCGACTCCTCCGTCGCCACCACATAATCGTCTGGCTTCTCCTGTTGCAGCATCATCCACATGGCTTCCACGTAATCCCCAGCGAATCCCCAATCCCTTGAAGCTTGCAGATTTCCCAAAAACAACTTGCTTTGCAACCCAATCTTGATCCTCCCAACGGCCCGAGTAATCTTCCGGGTCACGAAATTCTCTCCTCTCCTCGGGGACTCGTGATTGAACAGAATTCCATTACATGCATAAAGCCCGTAAGCTTCCCTGTAATTCACAGTGTACCAATGCGCGGCGCATTTAGAAGCGGCGTATGGAGATCTGGGGTGAAATGGAGTGTTTTCAGATTGCGGTGGAGGAGTGGATCCGAACATTTCTGAGGATCCAGCTTGGTAATACTTGATATGGCTCCGACCCGTGGCGGCGATGTGGGATCTAACGGCCTCCAACAACCGGAGGGCTCCCGTAGCCACCACGTCAGCAGTATAATCAGGGATTTCAAAAGAGACAGCCACGTGAGACTGGGCAGCCAGATTGTAAACCTCGTCGGGCCGGATAGTGTCGAGCCAGCGACGAAGCGAGGAAGCGTCGGAGAGGTCAGCGTAATGGAGCTTCATCCGAGCCTTGTGGGCGTTGTGAGGGTCGATGTAGATGTGGTTAATACGCTGCGTATTGAAATTGGAAGAGCGACGGATCAAGCCATGGACTTCGTAGCCCTTGTTGAGAAGAAACTCGGTTAGATAGGAACCATCTTGACCGGTGATTCCAGTGATCAACGCGATCTTGCGGTCAGGAGTTGCGTCGCCATTAACGGTGACAGATCCGGATCCGGATCCGGATCCAGATTTAGGACTCTCATTTTCGGTCGCCATTTTGGAAAGCGATCTGAGGGAAGGGAAAATTGACGGTGGATTTTAATTGATTTCCAAGAAGAAGAAAATGGGAAAGAAGACGCGGTTTCAATGCTTTTAAGCGATTCTGGTTTTATAAGTGAAAGGGAGCTCAGAGATGGGAGAGACAGAGGAGGCTAAAATGGTCAATGACAAAGAAAATAGATATTCAATGGATTTACTCCTTTGCCCTTTGAAGTTAAAATTTGCGGTGCAATTTGATTGGTTGTGATTTTGGGCTGAATCTTAAATCCTGAAATGGGTCAATCTTGGGCCATATAAAGGCCTGAAATGGGTCAAACAAGGGAACAAGGCTTTGTTTGGAAGTGTACTTTACGCACCCAAAATGGCCAATTTGGGTTTCACCAAACACGAACCATCTTACCTTCTGAATCTCAGAATGCTTTGGGCCTCTAAATTCATATTCCTAGCCCATATATATTACCTAATATATAAAATTAGGACTCTTCATTTATTTGTTTTTTTTTTCTTGGGGGGAGGGGGGGTGGGGAATGGAGTATATATATATGGAATTTAATTATAGATCTCAAAATAGTAGAAACAAAGATGTAAATGATTTTGATTTCAACAAGTACATCTGGTCATTCAACATGGAAAATAGTTAGCTTTAGTATATACTGATCATCTTCATGATTTTCCTACACTCATTCCACTGATTCGCTTCATGAAGTGTGATGAACAAAAACACACTATTTCTTGCAACAAATGTACATAAAAGTATTGAATTGAAAAGAACATGTATAAATAATATAATTTAAAGTCTAAGTTATCTAAGCTTCTCTACTGGTAGGTGCATCGTGAGGTACTGCCTTCAAGTCTCACGAAATGTGAGTTTGGTTTATAATTTGTTTATTTGTGTATATGGTAGGTAGATGGTTTATTTATGGTAGTTTCTTAGTTTGATCTGATTTCTCATTTAGATGTTTTGGCATATAGAGATTTATTCAGATTATAATGAGATTTCACATGTACTCATTAAAAAAAAAGTTATCTAAGCTAATTGATATAAGTAGTCTTATATAGATCATGTTTTACTTAATTGACATCTAATTATATGATGTGAAATTTCAATTTAAAAATGTTTTTTATTTTCTTTTCTACTTTTGCCGACTTAAATTGAGATTTTAGACAATTGTTTTCATCCTTATCCTTTCATGGGTTTACTTGTCAACTAATAGTTCTCTAATGGACCATGGTAATATATATTACCATATAATTAATATCTTCTATGCGGCTCGACTTTATATTAGTCAGAATCTAATGTAATCATCGGATACTGAAAGTTCAGTAAAAAAAAAAAAAACTAAATTACCTTGAGTCATTAACTATATGAGAGAGTCTAAATCTATCTAATAGAGTCCATATTTAAAATTACCGGAATCCAAAAAACTCCAAATCCGACTCATTCCGCCAAAATTGTTTCAAGCATTTTATACTTTACTAAAATTTCTTAACAAGAGCACGGGTTGATATTCTTAATATCCTTTTTTAAATCTAGACTATCCTTTTGTAGAAAGTTTAAAGTCACAGTAACAAATAAACTTCCGAAACTTCCGAAATATAAGAAATTCGATACCGAAAAAAAGCATGAATGCTCTCAACTCTCCCACTCCAACCAATCTCCATTCATCTAACCTCATTCCGACGGCCTCGCTACCAGATCCGCCAGGCCAGGAGATCGATCCAACAAATAGAAGCACCAAAAGAATGAAAGATGATTCCAGCACCATGGAGTGTTCTGTTTCCTTGAATGGAGAAACCTCCACTCACGCCATTAATGATGCCAATATGGACAATCCTACTGTGACTTCTTCTCTTTTGGTAGCCAATGCCAACGTGTCTTCTTACAGAGACATGCTTTTGGCTGACTCTGAGGAAGCTCAAATATCTGTTACTTACAGCCCCTCCTGTCTTCATGATATCTCTGATTCCGATTCGGAATCTGATGATGAGGAAGGGGTGGCTTCTATCTATCTCTCCAAAGAAGAAAAGAGGAGAATTCGAGCCCCCTGGGTCAATGCTTTAATTGTTAAAGCCTATGGCAGGAATGTGGGATATAAATTCCTCTTTCCTCGAGTTATGGCTCAATGGAAACCTAAACAAAAAATGGAATGCATTGATTTAGGCTGTGATTTTTTTTTGTTCCGCTTCCAATGTAAGGAAGATTACAATCGTGCTATGTACAGTGGTCCTTGGTTTGCTGGACCTTACTTCCTTTCGATCCGGCAATGGGAACCTGGCTTCAAACCTGAAAAAGCAACTTTCACCACCACTGCTGTTTGGGCACGACTACCAGCACTCTTAATTGAATTCTTTGATTCTCTAACTCTTAGGAGAATTGGAAATCAACTTGGAGTCCTGTTAAGAATCGATGCCACAACAGAAAAAAATAGTAGAGGAAAGTATGCCAGATTATGTGTTCAGGTCGACTTAGACAGACCATTAATACATACTGTAAAAATTGGGAAACACAGGCAACCTGTTCTTTACGAAACAGTTGCTGACTTGTGCTTTAAATGCGGTTGCATTGGTCACAATGCTGCCAATTGCAATTCTTTTGAGAAACAAACTCATGATAACATGGACATTAATGAAGGTCCTAGCATTAATGCCACTGAAAACTCCTCTGCAAATCCTGAAACAGAAATCCCTACTGGGACCAATTCTGATGAAAAGGAAAACACTCAGGAAGATTCTAAATACGGGCCTTGGATGGTCGTTGAACGAAAGAGAAGCAAAAATGTCAAAAACAACTTTAACACGGGTACCGGAAAATCTTCCGGCGGTGCTGCTCAAGGACAGTACAACGGGCGAAACTCAAAGCCTGACAACTCCAACGGTCACTGGCAGAGACAAAACACTCCACCCACTTCACAAAAGCATAAACCTATCAATCAAGAGCCCAAACCGTATGAGCCCAAATCACATGAGCCAAATGAAACATAAGCCCAACAAAGTACCAAAGCCCATTCTTCTAATCAAAGGCGTGACTCAAATTTTCAAACATCAAAATATAAGATTCATTCTGAATCTAAAGTGCCTCTGACACAAAGTACTATCAATCAACCCCCCTCTGAAACTGAAGCTTTTAAAAAAAAAAAAGCAGTACCTCCATTATTACTCCCAACGGCCATAACTCTTCTCACCTAACCGTACCTTCCATATCTAACCCCCCCCCCCCCAAGCTGTCTCCCATGGACCCCCCATCACCACCCCAAACCCATACTGTGAGACAAATTCCGCTAGCACTTCCCAGGCGGGAACTGTTTGTGTTCCTCAAGGACATCGGGATCTTCCTGGATTGGGCTCTTTACAGCATTCTCCACTTCGAATCGATTCCCACGCCGGAGAACACACCCTTCCCTCTGACCAAGGGGTGGCACAACATTGTCTCGGCCCGATATCCTCTCAATCCCAATCACTACACTCACCTTCTCATGGATCAGGAGGATCTGCTAGATCTAACCGAGGAGGAAAAAGAAAAGATGCTCAAGGACCTTGTGGAACAGGAGTTCAAGGAAGCAGTGGAAACGGTGGAACGGGAACTCCTGAACCAGACACCGGACCCATGGATTACAGAATCGATGATGAGGATTATTTTCGAGTCAGAGATGGATTTTGCCAAGAGCATAGTCATACCGCAAGGAATCCGCGAGACCAGCGTTATAGGGAGGTTCTACAACAAGCAAGGGGAACCCACCATGATTTACAGCTATGCAATCATGCCGGATTGCCATGCCAATACCAACATAATCTGGAAAGATTGGAAGACGGGGGTGACCCACACCGACCCCCAAACTGCTAACCAATGGTGGGGCTACAAACCCAACTGTTTATCAATGATTAAGATCCTCTCACGGAATTGTCGCGGTGCGGCGAGAGAAAGCTTCAAAAGGAACTGCTTGAACCTTATTCGAGATCATAAGCCACTCATTTTGTTCATCTCCGAACCTAGAATCTCAGGCGCCCGTGCTAGAGCTGTTGCGTGGAGTTTTGGCTTTTCAGATATGTACTTGGTTGACACCATAGGTTTTGCCGGAGGGCTTTGGATGCTCTGGAATCGCGAGGATGTGTCCCAAACTTTCCCTATTGGTGAACAAGCCATTCATGCTGAGATTCAGGTAACCCATCTAAACTCTACTTTCAATTGGTTTATTAGTGGCATCTACGCCAGTCCTAAACTTGCTAAAAGAAAGTTATTATGGGATGAACTGAGTACCTTAAGTAGTAGCATTAATATGCCTTGGTCTATTATTGGTGATTTTAATGATGTCATAGCTGCTGATGAGAAGTTTGGGGGCAACCCCATTAATCTCTATAGATCTAGATTATACAGAGAATGCATGAATGACTGCCACATGATTGACTTGGGTTACATTGGTGCTAAATTTACCTGGGTTAATGGCAATTATAATGGCATTCTCATTAGACAACGTATTGATAGAGCTTGGGGCAATGACAGTTTTAACCTTCTCTTCCCCGATGCTAAAGTCTTCCATCTCCCTAGAACCAGCTCCGATCATAACCCTATTCTCCTTGAGCTTATGCCTTCTGCTGCTGGTCCTATCAATAAACCCTTTAGATTTGAGTGGTGTTGGTTCAGACACCCGGATTTCAAAGAATTTGTCCATTCCCTCTGGCATAATTTTAGAGAAAACCTTGCCTCTACCATTACTAACTTTGCTATCTCTGTTAAGAAATGGAATGTGGATGTGTTCGGCAATGTCCACATTAAGAAGAAGAATCTAACGGCCAGACTCAAAGGCATTGAGAGAAGTCTTTCGATTAATCACAATCAATTCCTTGTTAACCTTCAGAAGGATCTTATTGAAGAATTCAATGGGATCCTTAAACAAGAAGAAGACTTGTGGAAGCTTAAAAGTAGAATTGATTGGAATGTCGATGGCGACAAAAATACCTCCTTCTTCCATGCTACCACTGTTATCAGGAGAAGGAGAAATAAAATCAATTCCCTCAAAGACATTTCTGGAAATCTTGTGGTTGATCCCTCCGAGATTAAGAGAATGATTTCTAACCACTTTCTTAAACTCTACACCACTTCTCTCTCTTTTAGCACTCTGGAGTCCAATCTTTTCCTCCCTCCTGGTCATAAAATAGACAATTCCCTTGCCTCTGATCTTACAGCTTGCCCGTCCAAGAGATAAATTTTTAAAGCTCTTTTCGGTATGAAACCCCACAAGGCCCCTGGACCTGATGGACTTCATCCTGGCTTCTTCCAACGATGTTGGTCTAGTACGAAAAATCTCATTTTTAAGGAAATCTCTGAAGTCTTCCTCACTAAGTCCATTCCTGAAGGATGGAACGACAGTCTCATCTCCCTGATTCCCAAAACCAGCAATCCTGAGCTTATCACCCAATTTCGTCCTATCGGTCTTTGCAATACCCCCTATAAAATTGTCTCCAAGATCATAGTTAATCGCATCAGACCCCTCCTTAGTGAGATTATTGGCCCTAACCAGGCTAGTTTTCTCCCGGGCCGCAAGAGTGCTGATAATGTGATTTTACTCCAAGAAATTGTTCACTCTTTCAACAAGAAATCCGGTAAGAATGGTGATATGATCATCAAACTTGATCTTGAAAAAGCTTATGATAGGTTAGAGTGGAATTTTATTAGAAATGCTCTCATGTTTTTCAATTTCCCTCCTGATCTTATCCAACTTATCATGAACTGTATCTCCTCGGTCAATCTCTTTATGATTGTTAATGGGGAGAAGACTGACTCCTTTCAGCCCTCGAGGGGCATCAGACAAGGGGATCCCCTTTCCCCCTACATTTTCATCATCTGCATTGAGTATCTGTCTCTTCTCATTAGAGATAAGTTCGATAAAGGTCATTGGAGAACCTTTAAAATTTCCAGATCTGGACCTCCCATTACCCATCTCTTCTTTGCAGATGATCTTATTCTCTGTGCTAAAGCCACTTTGAGAAATTGTATTCTGATTAGAGAGGTGCTTAATACTTTTTGCGATGTCTCGGGTCAGTTGGTTAATATTGACAAATCAAAAATTCTCTTCTCTAAGAATACTAATCATGTTCTTAGAAATGTTATAGCTGACAATTTTGGCTTTGAAGCTGTGGATAATATTGGCAAGTATTTGGGTTTCCCCATTTCTCACAAAAAACCTGATAAAAATACCTGTCGATTTATTGTTGATAAAATTAGCAACAAACTCTCTGGTTGGAAAACCAAATTCCTCTCTCTTGCTGGGAGAACCACTCTCATCAACTCCACTCTTGCTGCCACTTCTGCTTACTAAATGCAGGCTATGAAATTACCTGCTAGTACGCTTAACCACATTGACAAAATCTGCAAGAGCTTTCTTTGGGGCAGCACTCTTGATAAGAAAAAAATTCATCTTATTAATTGGGAAACTGCTACATGCCATAAAAACAGTGGCGGTCTTGGCCTCAAGGCTGCAAAACCCCTTAACCAGACCTACATGGCTAAACTTGGCTGGCAACTTCTTGAAAACAAAAATAATCTTCCTTGGACCCAAGCCCTTACCAGTAAGTACCTCTCAGGAAACAATCCCTGTAAATATGGGTCTCCATTGTGGAAAGGCATTATGGAGTCCAGCAATAGCATTGATCAGGGATTGAGGTGGGTGGTAAAAAATGGCAGCAAGGCTTGTTTCTGGACTGAGGACTGGACTGGCCATGGCATCTTGAGAAGTTTTTTCATTGGCCCGTTCCAACAACATGACCTTAATCTCAAAGTTAAAGATATGCTTGATAATCATGGCTATTGGAAGGATGAGGTTCTTCTGTTTCTCCCCCCTGATGTTGTCAATATCATCAAAAGCACTCCCTTGCATCGACATTGTGAAGCTGAGGATGTCTTGGCTTGGAAATTTGAGGCCAATGGAGAGTTTTCCTTAAGCTCAGCCTACCAAATTGCAAAAAATACTCCTAATAGTGATGCGAGGGAGTGGAAGTGGATTTGGAGTTCTCCCACACTTCCTAGAATCAAATCCTTCATTTGGTTGGTTGCTCATAACAGACTTGCTGTCAAAGAACTCCTTGTGCTTAGAGGTATTGCAACCTCCTCTACTTGTCATGTCTGTAATGACCCTCTTGAATCTGTTAAGCATGTTTTGAGAGGTTGTAAACAGGCTATAAGCATATGGAGGGCGCTTAAACCTCCGGAAAATATTCATCAATCCTTTACATCAGGGTTAAGAGATTGGCTCGAATTCAATATGAAACACACTGACCCTGCTCATTTCACCATCCCCTGGAATATTCTGTTCTCTTTTGCTATCTGGGAAATTTGGAAGCATATAAATGACAATTTTTTTGGTAAGACACTTAGAAGCAACAACAGAATTCTTCAAAGTATTTTCCAGCAGGCTGCAGAGTTTTTTGCTAGCTCTGATAATGCTAATAACAAAAAGCTTAGTTACACTAAGCAGATTCAGTGGACCCCCCCTCCCGCTGGCTTTCTTAAGATGAATACTGATGGTGCCTCTCATGGAAATCCTGGCCTTGCTGGTGCAGGAGGCATCATCCGTGATAGCCAAGGACTTTTTGTTCTTGGCTTCCAGAAACGAATCGGTTTTGCTACTAGTACTGCTGTGGAACTTTGGGCTATTAGAGAAGAGCTATCCTTAGCCAAAGAGAGGAACCTTAATAACATCATGCTTGAAACGGACTCGCAGCTTGCCATCGACTTGCTGCAGAATTGTTTTGATCCTAAACATGTTCTTATTGTGCTTTTGGATGATTGCAGGTCCCTTATGGCCCAATTGAGGATCCAAACGCTGCAACACACATTTAGAGAGGGCAACTACTGTGCCGACAAACTTGCCAAAGCTAGCACTTTGATGGATGAAGACTTTATTGTTTTTGAGCAACCCCCTGCTTCTATTTCTATTGATCTTTTTGCTGATGTTTCGGGAATTTCTTTCCCCAGGACTTGTAATATCAGGGACACCCACTCCTGCTATGAGGAGGGACTTGTCCCAAACAATGATCTGTACTTTTTTAGCTAAGTAATGCACTTTCTTTTTCTGATCAAAAATAAAATAAAATAAACTTCCGAAGATTGAACTTATTGAGATGAAAATCACTTGACATCTCAATTTAATCACTTATTGATGTACCTTAACTTTTGCTTTATGGGAATTATCAAATTAGCATTCTAAGAAGGGATCCACTTACACCAGTGTAAAACTTTAATTTTACATCCTATTTTAACCCTTAGATCTACTTAAACGAGCGGACAAAATTAAATCGAATCTTTGCTAATAATTTTCTCTCTCCCCAATTTTGCTCCCAACGCGCTTTTCCTCTCCCTCATTGTTTCAGTTTTTTTTTCTCATCCATCGAGTTGTCATCTCCTCTCTCTCTCTCTCTCTCTCTCTCTCTCTCTCTCTCTCTCTCTCTCTCTCTTAATCATCTTGTATCTTTTTTCATATTTGCTTTGCCTATTAGAGATGACCTTGGACTAAAATTATAGGTGCAAATTTTATAAATATGACCTCTTCTATAAGACTGAAATCCCAAATAGGTCTCCCATAAATCAAGGGCCCAAATTTTAAAAAAGGTCAAATAAGTGCCCCAATTTTTCGGGAAGGCTCAAATAGATCAATTATGTTAATACAAATGGAGTGTGAGTTACACCGTAGAGAAAAAAATTGCGTGAACAAATAAGAAATTGACATGTGGTTTTTATGATTCTGATTTTAGGAAATTAAGCAACTTAAAATAAAAAAATACAAATAACCTTTAATTCAAGATTAAAAATGAAAAACACATTAATTACATTTAAAACCCTTATTAATAGTAAGATTAAACTTAATTATCTCCCTCTCAAATGTCGACGATACTCTAACCTAAAATCGACAAAAATTACATCTATTATGGTCGAAATTTGAAGCGAAAAGTGGAAATCAATTTGACAGAATGGACATATTTGAACCTTTCCAAAAAGTTATGGCCCTTATTTGATATTTTTTAAGTTTAGACCCTTATTTGAGATTTATAACAAAATTGAAGGACCTATTTGAGATTTCAATCCTCCTATCAATATATTCCAAATCCAAGTTGAAGTAGGAATTATATTAAACCTACTATTATTTTTATGTACAAGTGCTTTCCTGTGTGACACTTGGCCTTTTGTTTCGTTGACAAGTGTTGTTTGAAAGAATTTTAATTGCAATGCTTTCTGTAGAAGGTTTCTGTACATTGCGTAGGTGATAATGGTAGTCATCAATTGTTGAGGTCAATTAATGTGTTCAGATGACATGGACGTGTGGACCCACTTGAGTATATATATATATATATATATTTATATATTTATATATATAAATATTCATTGAATTGATAGAAGTCAAAACTTTTTCCCTTTCTTAGTTCGTTGCTGCCTGCTCGACTTCTCCGATTCATACATTCCCCCTGCCCATGATTCAGCCTTGCATGATGGGTCGACGATTCCGTTCACTTGGGTATTTGTGTCTGCCATTAATGTTGCTTTTATTGAAGAGTTGGATTTGGTTTGTGGTCTATTTATGAAGAATTCGACCTGGGTTT